GGTCGACATTTGCATACAGACACAGATAGATACGGTATCCACAATTGCGGATAGATACCGTCAGCTTCCGATGTGTACAAGATGCGGACAGAAACGGATAGGATTTTCTATTGCAAAAGCTTATAGATACTGATATGCCGATAGATTTCCATTAGATGCAGATATACGCTGTTACATTTTCTGTCTGCATTTGCAGATACAACAGTGCTGCTTATAGAAACGGATATAGGAATTGAATCTTCTCATGAAGCTTGCAGTTAGATCGGACAGCATTCCGTTAGAAGCTGTTAGATGTCGTATACAAGTTCTATCTGTTTCTGACTGTTTCTAATGGAAATTTTTACTAGGGATGGTACAGGACTTTTCGACTCAGTCTAGTCCGCTCTATCTGTAAATAAGAGGTGAGGCGGGTATTACATAACACTATGTATAATATTTTCAGTCAAAATAGAATGGATATCTTTCATAGAAATCAGAAACTTAATTTTTTTAAGAGAAAAATATGTTTTCTGTTAAAATGCTGCACCGTTTTACGTCACTGCAGTGTAGAATTATTTCATAAAATATTAGCTTTAGTTTATTGCTTTGATGTAGGAAGAAATCAGTGCATTGAAATAAATAATGTCTTTGATTCACTTATTTTTGTCTAATAAAAATAAATAATACTGATATTTTTATTTTTGTATAATTTTTTTATCAAGATAGAATACATTCAATGTACACTGGAGAACCAAGAGAATTTTGAATCTTGCGTTATTTATAGTCACTCTGAATCTACACGTAATTTATGTACAATCTCGAAAGCTCCAAGTGCTATTTTATAGTTCCATATATGTCACTATTGTATAGTTTCACATGTGTCAATGGGTGATATCGTAAAGAATAAATTGAATTTAGCACATTCACTCAAGCAGACGATAACACTCCATGTAATCGTTATGCTCTTTATAGAACTATTTTTTATTACGCTCAGTGTAAATTCGCAAACGACTTTTAATTTTGAAGTGACCGTGAGCGCTTCTATATGAATACTCAGCGACAGGCAACTGATTCAGGAGTCGAAGCGACAGGCAACCGATTCAGGAATCTCGAACATTAACAATCATGCCTTCCGCGACGATTTCGCGCCGAGTACTGGGCTATCTGGTAAGTAAATTACTTTCTAATGCAGTATGCTATCAAATATATAATGTCGTTAAATTTAATTTTTATATAAATATTAAATGTAACACAATCTAAATTTCCTGCATAGTCCCATTCTCCCCTACATCTTTCTCGACTCTATTTTGAAAGAAAACTTATTCATTACAAAGTATGTCGTCAGTCTAACGTAATATTACTCTATTATTTTCACGAGCTCTTGGCTGTATTATCTCAATATGGTGACGCGGGGAAAACCAACTACTTGGAGTCCATTTTAGCGTCTCTGCAACGCCTCGAGTCTATACTTGACAAGCAAGAGCAAAATACGATGAGCTGCCTTGTGCCGGCCCAGAAATTATTCCAGCTGTTGTCAGAATACCAGACATCTGGTAACGAGAGTAACGAGGTATTAGTAGAATATGTCTGAAAACTACAGGCAATCAATACAAATATTGGATCTCATTTTTAACAAAGGAAATACGGCTTCTTTTGCCATAATATATCATTAAAAAATAATTATTATTTTTATGAATTGACAAAATTATAACAATTATTGACGAATTAAGGCAATTTTTGAACATAAAGTTTAAGTTTTATTAATTTTTATGCAGATTGTTAGTTAATTATTCTGAATTAATTATACTAAATAACATTAACAAATTTGAATTCTAATTGCAGGCAAAAGCCAATGGACAAGATTCCGTAGCTCTTCGAAGGGGATCGGAAAATGAGAATGCTAACCAACAACTCTCAGAGCTAAAAAAGCCGAGGCATCGAAGGAAAAACAGGCGCAATGAGAACGCGAATACTAATGTCAACGAAAACATAAATGCGAACGTTAATGCCAATCGCTATCACAGACGTGCCTTAAGCGATGCTGATCCGTATTCATCCAGCAATAACAATATGAATAGTAATATGAATAGCAACGTTAACTTGAATAGCAATTTAAACAAAAACAGAGCAGATCTATTTGACTTTAGTGACGAAGATGATGAAATTTAAACGCAGGCAAGCTTCCGCTTTCCAAAACAAGATTGAAAAGCGTATACTACTGTATATATAAAAATTGTTGCGTTTGGTTAAAATTTCTCCAAAACTATTTATTGCAATAATAAAATAATAGAACCAAACTGTTCGTAGAATATTCAATTTTCAGATTAAATAAACTAAACTTGCATTACAATTATTTTATATATTACGGAAAATAATTGATTTGCCAGCAGAGCTTCATTAGCAAATTGTAAATGCCAACGATTATATATATATATATACGAGCAATTTAACAGGAATAATAGAATGATATTTCTGTGTAAACTAGCTGTGTAAAGGGAAAGTATGTATTCGAAAATTGATTCAATACATTTAATTTTAGAATTCAGTTACAAATATCTTATTTTTCATCTTTGCTTTTACCAGGCAGTATAATTTTCTACCTAGAGGTAAAAGAATGTACAAAATTCAAATGCAATAAAAAACCCAAAATAAAATAATACATAACCTAATATACAGGGTGTTCCAGGAGGAAAGGTCAATATTCTGGGACGTGAGAGTATCGGTCATTTTAAGCAAAAATATTCATATGAATATATGTCCCATTCCCAACTATTGACCTTTCCTCCTGGAACACCCTGTATTTGGTGGAAGGTCTTTTACTTCCTTTTCATAAATACTTCCTTTTTTATAATAAAAAATACTTAAGAGAGATTGGAGAAAACTAACAATTCTTTTATAGCTTGCACTAGCTTGCACTAGCTTCTCGGCCATTACAAAATACTTAAACCATCAGGTATTTTCGGATCATTCAATTAATCCGTGTCAACTCGCTGTCGGATCAGATCTTTCGCCGGCTTGCCACTTGCTTATACTAACTTATACTCTCTGGTATTTAGAAATCATCCCACGTTAGTATAAGCAAGTGGCAAGCCGGCGAAAGATCTGATCCGACAGCGAGTTGACACGGATCAATTGAATGATCCGAAAAAACCTGATGGTTTAAGTATTTTGTAATGGTCGAGAAGCTGGTGCAAGCTATACAAGAATTGTTAGTTTTCTCCGATCTCTCTTAAGTATTTTTTATACAGGATGAGTCTTTCCATATCCGACAAAATTTTTGAGAAGGTAGAACGGATCGAGATGAACGGAAAAGTCCTGTACCATTTTGCAATTTTCGTAATAGTTAACGAGTAATTAATTATTAAAAATCGTTGTCTTAGGCCGGCCTACCGCCCAATTCGAGTCGGTTCGAACTTGAAAAACGTAATATGTTTCGAACCCTCAATTCTTTCCGTATTGTATTGTCTCCGTACGATCCGAAAGTGTCCATGTAGGTTAAAAAAGAAATAAAAGATAAATGATTATTGTGAGAGTCATAATTATTCCATTATTGGATAAATTGCTTTTAGAAAAGGAGCATAAATCTGAAACGAAATAAAACGAAAAATGATTTACTATAAAACTACAGCTGCAGAAATAAACAAATAAGCAAAATAAATTTGGCATATGGAGAAATATGTGATCATTTTTATTTGCTTTGTAGATTTGTTTAAAACAATTACTTTTACTTTACAATTACAATTACATTACGCTATTTAAGACACATTATCAAAAATACGAAATCCGAAAAAAGTGTTTCAGCAAACAATTCAGGTATCACAAAAGAATATTGATAGGTTTGCTTCTTGTAAATTCGTTAACGAAATTTGTGAAAGATTAAAATGTAATTATTGATAATTGCAATTTTGAAAAGATATAGTTTTGCTACCGTGTAAAAAACTCAATTCTTTTTATTTACTCTTTTGTACTTGTATGTCGATTAAACAGTTTTTATTTATTTTAAATAATTACATTAAATAAAATATCATTTAAGACTAGATTATTTAACGATAAAAATCTACCAATAATTTTATTTTAGAGCTTTATGGAATTGTACAACCGAATAATACTTATCTAATCAAAATATAATATTTATCTAACGCAATTAAAATACATTTTGTAAGAGATTTTTTACTCTATCAATTCTGTATACTACCATATACTAACAGCTAACATTTTTGCAGCGAGAGCTATTACTTTATTACGCAAAAATGTTAGCTGTTATAGTATGTGGTAGCTAATCTTTCTTTTCCGTGTAAGAAAACATTCTTTATTTTTATGTTTACTTTTTGTTTATTTTAACACCATACATTATTTTATAATTATATACTTTCTATGATACGCACGGAAAAAAATAATTTTGCTGTTGCAGCGAAATTGTTGCTGCTATTTGAATACTGCATATGTATTTGATAAGAATGTGATGGCGATACGAAAATTTCCTTATTATACATTATTAAAATTGTTCACCATTACAGCAGAACGTTTGGCTGAACAGAAATTCTTTTATTTCTTTAGCTAAATATTTCGCACAATTATTTTTCAATAAAATTAGTGTTCTTAACACAGAGTTGACCATAAAAGAGAAAATAACTTTATTATAAAATAACAGACAAAATTTACTTATATTTACATAGGGTATATTTTGCTAGCAAATTATTTTTCTCCGCGTGATGTCTGTGAGTGGAACAAGTTTTCAACTTGCCTGCAACAGCCCTGAGATCTAAGCAGCTGCCCTCACGTGCCGTTCAGTGAACTAAAGTTGCAGTCGGTAATCCATCTCTCATGGTAAAAAGCTGGTACAGCAGCTAAGATTCACACCGGAATTAAGTTGGCGCTGGAAGTTCATATTTTCGTATAAAACCTAGCTCAAACGATTGCTCCCGAATTGCTCCATTAGAATCCACAATTGCTCCACTTTTAAAATCAATAGTTTTCGAAATATTAATAAAAAACGTAAAATTTTTAATTTTCAATAAAAAACATATTTCTAATAGCTTTGTGCAATTCTAACCAGCATCAAATGATTGCTCCTTCATTGCTCCATTAGAATCCACAATTGCTCCCTTTTTAAAATAAATCGTTTCTGAAATATTAACAATTAAAACGTAAAATTTAATTTTCAATAAAAAAACTTTTCTAATAGCTTTGTGCAATTCTATCCAGCATACAACGATTGCTCTTTAATTGCTCCTTATTGCTCCATCATTATTTTAATTATTTATTGCATATTTATAGAAAAATTAATAAATTAATCATTTCGCTACTGACGACGCCGCCACCTATCGGACGCCTATCGTAATTACATGGCTCTGCAGCATAAACGGCGGAAATATTCAAACGAAACGTAACAATTCTTTCGTTTACAACTATAAATCTCAAAGAGTTCAATCGACATTTCCCATTGATTTTTGCCTAGAACAATTGTTCCTCGGTTGCTCCATAGAAATGATCAATAGCTCCATGCGTATAATTGATATTTTTGCAAAAAACCATTTATTTCATTGCAAAAACATATTTCCCATAGTCTTCTGCAAGTTTATTCTACATAGGACGATTACTCCTTCATTGCTTCGCATTGCTCCATCGCTGTTTCCACGATTTTGTGCATTTTTATTACAAATATTAACAAATTAATCATTTCGCTAGTGACGACCTAGCCATGTAATTACGATAGGCGGCCGATAGTTGGGGCGTTGTCACTTGCGAAATGATCACTTTGTTAATATTTGTAATAAAAATGCACAAAATCGTGGAAATAACGATGGAGCAATGTGAAGCAATAAAGGAGCAATCGTCCTATGTATACAATAAACTTGCAGAAGACTATGGGAAATATGTTTTTGCAATGAAATGAATGGTTTTTTGCAAGAATATCAATTATACGCATGGAGCTATTGATCATTTCAATGGAGCAACCGAAGAACAATTGTTCTAAGCAAAAATCAATGGGAAATGTCAATTAGACTCTTTAAGATTAGTTGTAAACGAAAGAACTGTTACGTTTCGTTTGAATATTTCCGCCGTTTATGCTGCAGAGCCATGTAATTAC